ATTTTTTTGAAAGGCAACTTTTTCGCGCTGGCGGGAACAATAAAAATTCCACCAATGAGAGTGTAGTATCTCAAATCTTTACTTTCATTGGAAGATATTATTTCTGATCCACAAAAATCTTCGGTGGGCGTTGCATTCCGTCCGTCCCAGTATCCCCCAACGCATCTGGCATTTTTGGAACAGCACGTGCGGGATTTGAAAGAAGCTGGTCTTGTTTATCGCAACACACGGTCGCGCTGGGCAGCAGCACCAAGAATCGTTCCGAAGTAGGCCCCAGGTGACCTCCGCATGACGGTCGACTCGCGGCCAGTCAACGCATGCACTGAGCCAACGACGTGGCCCATGCTGAGGAGATGTTTCGACTCACACTTGGTCGAGATCCTCCTGTCGACGTAGCGCCACTCACCGTTACGCTAAAGCGCGGCGCTCAACCCGTGTGATACAAGGTGCGTCATTTTTCCAAGGAGCATCGCTATTTCATGGCGACTCACGTCGCCGAGCTGGTGACTGCGGGATTATGCTACCGAAATCCCCGCTCGAAATGGTGCTCGGCACCTCTCATCGTTAAGTAATCCGACGCGAATGACTTTTGCATGACGGTGGACGTCCGGCCAGTCAACGCTCAGACCGAGCGTATCATCCGGCCTATGCCGATGATCGAGGTGATCGTGGATCACCTGGCCGGTGCGGAGGTCTTTTTCTCCCTTGATTTCTTCAAGGGGTACTGGCAATACGCGCTGGACAAAGCGGCGCAGGAGATGTTCTCCTTCTCACGGACACGGGCGTCTACACGCCGACGCGTGTGTTGATGGGCTGGACCGCCAGTGGGGCCAACTGCCAGTCGTCGGTCAAAGAAATGTTCGCCACCGAACTCTACTAGTCGCTGTTGATCTGGTTGGACGATGTCCTTGGATACGAGGAGACCACGGAAGGGCTTCTAGCGGCGCTCGAATGCATGCTAGGGATATGCGATCACGCGGCATCAAGCTGAACCCAAAGAAATACCGGTTCAATGAGACTGAAAGCTGCTGGCATCAAGCACGATCCCGAACACATCTAGGCATTGCAAGATCTGAAGATGCCGGTGACATGCCAACAACTTCAGCAATTCATATGCGCCATGAACTGGAGGAGAATGTCAATCCCACGATACAATGTTATCGTGCAGCGAATGACCGACCTCATGGAGTCGGTCTACAAGGCAGATGGCGGACGGACCCGCCAGAAAGTGGCCAGAGTTGATTGGCCGACGTGGGCTGGAGCGTTGCCCATGCAGCGTATCTCACGGCTTGCAAGCAAGCCCTCAGTCGTGTAGTGACGTTAGCTCATCCCAAGCAAGACCGGCTGATCTGTGTGTTTGCTGACGCAAGCGACCTCCATTGGGTGGTGTGGTGACCCAAATCCCTCACGATCAAGTTGATCGTGAGCTGGGGGCTCAAGACCTTGAGCCGCTCATGTTCCTGAGTAGAACGTTTTCGGGAGCGGCGCAGCGATGGGCGATCGTGGAGAAAGAGGCGTTCTCCATCGTAGAGTGCTTGAAGCTGACAGATTACCTGCTCCACACGCCGGGTGGATTCGCGCTGTTTACCGATCACGCCAAAAAAAATCTGAAGTTCATCTTCAACCCAGCCTTGGTCAACGCCGCCATCCCAAAGTATACGGCGGCGAAGTTGGACCGCTGGGCGTTTCTGTTGATGGGCTACACCTACACGATCTACGACATCGCGGGCGAAGTTAATGTGTGGGCAGATCTGTTGTCCCGCTGGGGGACAAACGCCAACTTGATCTGCCATATCGTTCACGTGCCCTCGAAGATCTCGCCTTTGCGAGGAGGCGAATTTGTTTGGCCAAAATGGCCGAAATTGTGGATGTTCAAGTCGAAGCAGTCGGGCAAGGCGACGCTCCCAAGATCCAGGGGATAGAAGACCGTGTAGACGTCGATGGTATGAATGTGCCGGTGTTGACGACGGGAACAGGCACCATCTGGATTCCGTCTGCGGCGAGTGATCTGCAGATGCGACTTTGTGTGGTCATCCACTTCGGCCTTGGTGGTCATCGTGGCGTCAATGCCAAGAAACTAGTCCTGTCTGAATGGTTCTGGTGGTCCGACATGACGTCGGATGTTTCGTTCTTTGTTGGTCGTTGTTTGCACTGTGCAAGCACGGGTGGTCACGTTCTTCGACCTTTTGGTGCGACGGCACACGCGACGAAACCAAACGAGATTCTACACTGGGATTTCTTGTTCATGGACGGTGGCTACATCCTCGTGGCCAAGGACGATTTCAGCCAGTTCAAGTGGCTCTAAGAAACCGACGTTTCGAACTCGCAAGTATTGGCGCGGTGCTTACAACAGTGGTTCAGTGTGTTTGGCTTTGCTACTTTCGGGTCAGCGACCAAGGGTCGCATTTCAAGAACGAGGTGATCGCCGTGCTCCAACATGTCCTCGGAGCTCATCACCATCTCACCACGGCGAGATGTCCGTGGGCAAATGGCACTGTCGAAAGTGCCATGAAAACGGCCCTGAAGACGCTCCGAACGTTGCTCTCGGAATGGTTGATGCAACCGGATCAATGGGACTGATTGTGGCAGTCGTGATGTTGATCCTCAACCAAAGTCCCTCCGACACCCTCGGTGGTGTCGCGCCGATTACGGTGATGACTGGTGCACGAGCGATGTCACCGCTCGAACTAATTTGTGTGGATGGACCCATCCAATCGACACTGGAAGACCTCTGGTCTGTGCGATGTGACGAACTCAAGGCGATTGTGAAGGTGTTGGATAATATACACGAACAAGTCGCAATGAAATCGGCGAAGAAACGCGCTCAAAATCGAGATCGCCGTGCGACCAAGTGGGGGACCTCGATGGCCCAATTTGACCTGGGGGACTTTGTTCTCTACTTGGATGTCTGGTCCATGACCTATTCCAAGCTCAGTGTCACGTGGCGTGGACTTGCTCAAGGTGTCCGAGTTATCTTGGAATGGATCTACGAGATTCAAATTTGATCACTTCACGGGTGTCGCCCGTGAAGCCCACAGCAGTCGGCTGAAGTTCTATGCCGACGATTCACTCGCCGTGAGTGAGGAGCTACTGCGCCATGTGGCGCACAATGCCTACGGACACGTCGTGTAAGATTTCCTCAGTTGTTGGTACAAGGATTGGCGGCTTATCAAGTGCTTGTCAGTTGGCACGGCCTCCAAGATATCGAAAGCTCGTGGGAGCCAGCGACTAACCTGCTGGAAGATCTCCCCCCCGCATTCAAGAAGTATGTGCGGGTGAACGCCAAAGATGCCACGGTGATTGCGATGGCGAAAGCGATGGGGGTATCGGAATCGTTGGGGGGATTGTTGCGAATTTGCCTTTCGCAGAACCCCCGAACCCCCCCAAGAGGCAGTTCAAGGGCTCAGGTCCCTTGGATAGTATGCCGGACGATCCTATTGTTAGTTGGACGAGTGGCTGTGAGCAGTGTTGTCTGATTAGGGTAGGGTTAAGCCCCAGTGGCTGCTTGCCGCTGGGGAATCTTTGTCGTGATTTGCCTTAGGAAACGGACTTCGCGGGGTCCGTCAGGTGGAAACGCAACAGGGAGTCGTACTCGAATTGAATTCACGCGACACTGAAATACTCTCACTTGGGAACTTCGCTCTGCAAGTACATTAAACAACCACCTCTAACCGATGCTATTCGTGCTTGACGCTCTGGGTCTAGAATCTATTGGAGTTCCATGGAGTAGGGCGTGGTAGTTGCCCTCAGGCGACTAGTAGCCGGGCGATTCCGACCAAGATTTCATGATCCACCACGGCTGTCCATTGGCGCGAGAGTCAAAGTTCGAAACCTGCCCTTCGCACAGGTCCTACAAACACGTGTGCAATGTGGGAATGGTGGGGGTGGAGTGATTTTTCATCTGCTGATTTGTCAGAGTTATCTTGTATTAGTGGCAAACAAGACTTATCTTCTCAAAGCATGAAGCAAGTACAGTTGTCTGCACCGGCACTCAACGCCAGCTACCGAACTCTCGTCGGTAGACTCGATGACAAATCCAAAGTGACTTCATTCAATGCGGGCCATGGGGCAAACCCCTACCTTACTTCTCACACACATTCCTGCACGTGAGATGAGAACCGAGGTTAGACCGAGAACACTTCCCCCGACAAAGGGTGGTCGCACGTACGCTCAAGGTCCCCTACCATCTTCCACTTGGTCGTCGTCGTTATGAGCCGTCACCCAGCATCGAAAGATCACCGGTACATCGTCGTACACGGACAACGCTGGCTCCCAGGAAGACTCAATGTCTTCCAGTCCGAGCCACTTGACTTTCACTTGCCAGGTGCCGTCGTGGATACGGAAGTCTTCGAGCTGCTCGACATAAAAGCCATCATCTCCAAATGCGATATGTGCCGTCAGATCTTCGTCCACGTCACGGCCGCCTTCACAATACGGATGTATTGTGAAGGCGGCCGTGACGTGGACGACGTTGTGGCTGGTGGGATGAGCCGTTGGACCTCCATCAGGTAGTCTGAAACCACCTTAACAACACGATAAGGTCCGTTCCAGCGAAGTGTCGATTTTCCTTGATGCTGCGTCGCCCGTGCCACCAGTACAAAATCACCGAGCGCGAACTTCGCAAGTTGGGTGGATCGTTGTCAGTTACGGCGGTTGCGCGCCTTTGCACGTTTCGACGATGCGATTTCAGAGATTCGTTTGTGCATCCCGATGATCACCTTAACTAAGTTCTCCACGTGCTCTTTCGCTGCAGTGTTGACCCAATCGATTGTGGCCGGCCCTACATCACCCAGTCGAACGAGAGCTGCTAATGGCGGTGACGCAGGCAATGCCGTGAAGGCAGTCGTTGGTGCCACGCCACCGAGTCGGTCGGCAGGTTGTTGGTTGAGGGCTGACTGGACCATCGGCAGCAAACTTGGCCATTCGGAACTTTTCAGTCCATTTCGCTGCACAATGTCTTCAACGTCCGCACAATGAGGTTTTGACGATCTCAACAGTGCCATTCGCCCAAGTACAATGCGGGGTGACAAAGTGGTGATGCGCCACCATCGATCGGTGCAACTTGTCCACAATTTCGTTTTTGAAATGGGAGCCATCGTCCGAAACCCAAGTCTTCGGGACGCCGAACAGACTGATCCATTCCATCAGTGTTTGGGCCGTCGCCATCGCCGTCGCTGTGGCGCTTGCATGCAAGCGGACAAATCCGCTCATGTCGTCTTTGATCACCAAAACGTACTTGTCGCCAGAGGCTGCGCGAGGGAGTGTAAGCCAATCGAAATGGATCAGTTCGTTTAGGGCGGTTGCATGCAGTGCCTCTCCCCATGGTCGTGGCACAACGTCGCCGTCGACTACCATACAATGCAAACACTCGCGAACAAAATCCGCAACGTCGCGCGCCAAACCGGACCATTCGAACATGGACGCCACCGATGCAGTTGCCACCTCAATGCGACGATGACCCGTAATGCCGGCATGGACAATCACGCAAAGGCGCAACTGCAGGTCCAACGCATCGTCTGGGATCCAAATCTTGGACGACGTCGTCACGAAACATTGCTTCACTTCGTCCCAGGTGGAACAGGCTTCACCGTCGGGGTGAGCACGCTGAATTTCCAGGATTTCGTCAACACAGGGCCACACAAAATCTGTTGATTGCAGAGGCGACACCAGCGCCAACTTGGAATCCGTGCTGCTTGCTCATCCAGGCGCGGGCTTCCCTATCGGTTGAGAAGATCTGCCAGACAAACCCTCAATCACGTACGGAATCGTCGTCATCGTGAGAGCCCAGCGTTGTAGCTTGTGGGTCTGGTACTTGGCCATACCCGTGCTCGATGCCAGCGGGTTGAACATGTACACAAGGTTGAGGTGGTCGGTAAACAGTCGGAAACCTCCAGGGCGTATAAGGAGGCACTCCAGACGTTTACAGGACTCGGCCACCGCGAACGCTTTCTTTTCCACGATAGGCTCCGAAACCCCGAAACCCCGAAAGGCTCCACTCAAGAGCGCCAGAGGTTCGTGGCGCTACTATAACGCAGGCGGCGCCAAATCATCGACCGGTACTTGCGTAGCGATTGCGCCCCAAAACATCTCGCTTGTGTCAGTGTACAAGCACACCATCTTCTCGGGATCAGGGTGGGCCAACGGAACGAAACGACGCAGCGTCAACTTGACGTGATCGAAACACTTGAGGTGACCGTCGCACCATCCCACGGAACTGAGAACTACCCGCGCGAGCGCCGTCTTTTTTCGTGAGTCGGCGGTTTTAGCAGCAATGTCCAGAAGGCTCGTGTGGGGGCAACCAGTTCAGTGTACGTTGGGATGTTCGCATGCATCCATTTTGTTGCGCACAGGAATTGCTGTAATTCAACTGTCGTCTGCGGTGGCATGAGGTCGCAAAGGCCTTGGCCTCGGTCAGGAGCGTGTGCGACGCCGCTCTTGGAAATTTCTTTTCCACACCAGATTGTCTTTGTCGTGTAAAACGCACACTTGCCCGGATGCAACTTGCGGCCGTACGCTTGGCATATTCGTAGCACGCGTCGCAGCAGCAGCAGCAGCAGTTCTTCAGTTGTGGCGGCGTATCCCAACAGGTCGTCTAGCCAGCCCAGGACACCGTGCATCAACAAATCCCCAAATAGCTTGTCGACAACACCTTGGCAGTAGGCTACAGCGTTGGACTGTCCCAACAGGACACGCGTCGGTGTGACGACACCAAGCGGCGTCATGAAAGAGTAAAACTCTTGCGAGTCGGGGTGAAGGGGCAGTTGCCAATACCCTTTCATCCAGTCCAACGTAAAATAGACCTTCGAGCCTTGCAGAACCGACATCGCGACCTCAAGATTGGGGTAAAGCGAGGCTTCTCCGGGAGACGTCGTAAGTTGCACAAACGTCTCAACTACCTTCATCGTCGCCATCAGCGGCGTTTCTTGATCACACAGCAGGACAAGATCATAGACACTCTGCGCAACCGCGCAGATGCTAGCAACAAATGGGGGCAATACCCCATGCGCGCCATCACGTCGCGACTAACAATGAGATTGTCTAGGCCAACATGCAGTGGCACCGATGCCACCCAGCACTTGAGATTGGTCAGCACGAGGGTGTTTTCTGCCGTGTCAAACGTCAAGCGTAGCTTGACCTCACGATCCACCCTGAGCTTCATTTCTTTCATGAATTCGCCCAACTCGATGACGCTGTCGAGTTGCCGCACGATTAACATGCGATGGTCGGCGCCATCTAATCCCAACAGCAACGTCGATGACACGACTGACTGGTCGGCGCCACTGTTCAACAGGGCCAGAGACTTGACGCCGCTGATGTCGCACGAGACCGTGCGAGGGCACACCGTAGCGATTTCTTCGTAAACTTCCACGACCGCGCCAATAATCTCGCGCATGGTCTCGTCCGGCGCTGCCAAAGCAGCGACATGCGGTTTCTTGAACCACTGTTCCAGCAACCGTTGCGTCTCGCCCGGCTCTTAGCACCTTGTGTTCGACGCTGCCGCACTTCAAACAGCCCTTAGCTGGCGCAACCGATGCTGTCGTCTTCGGTGGCGCATGTCGCTGCGTCTTCTCGCCGTACTGTCGAGGCGGATTTGATTCCGTTTTCTTCTCCACAGAGATGAGTTGCGACTCGAACAACATAAAGTTGTCCAAAAGCGTTACAAGCCACTTTCAGAATTCATGCACGTCGGACTTGAAGGCTTTATTCGCCTCACGCGTTAACTGCGCTCGACAGCCGCCTTCAGCTGCGGTGGTCGAATCGCTGCCGTCAGCATCTTGACCGACTGCTTTGACTCTTGCTCAGACAAGTGAGCAACGTCCAGTTGCTCCAACCTCTCGTAGCAGTCGGAAAGCATTCTTCCCACCCGAGACTCGACGTCTCGGATCTTCCTCTCCAACTTCAGCGACGTAATCGCATTGGACACCGCGTCCAGGTCCAACTCCTGTACCTCGCGTGCAGACAGAAAGTAGTAGCGCCAGTCGTTCTCGGCAATTTCTTCGAACGGCTTTCCAAAGTCGTGTGCGCAAACACGTGGAACAATCGTTGGTCGATGCACGCTGCCAGTGGCATCAAAATAGCGTGCCACCTATGCCGCTGTTGAGGACTTGCACGCGTCGCGAGTAAGCGAGATGTTCGTCCAAGAACTCCAACGCTCGCGCTTCGTGCTTCCATTGTACAACGGTGCCATAGGCACCTGTTGTACACCCATGAGGTTCACGGCACGCGGTAAACAAAGGCCGTCGCCTGTGCCGCGTGTACCGATCGTTGATTCGCTGTTTCAACGAATAGACCCCATCGCTCGCTATCAAGGGGAGCCTTCTAGTTCAGCTCTTCTACCTTGTAGTGCTGCTGGGGCATCGCATACGATGCTTGTCGGAGCATATGTTGGTGCGCTTCAAAGAGTCTGCTTTGCTCAGCCATCGCTCGCTTCAGCTCTTCTTGCTGGCACATCAACGCCTGTTATTGTCGTGCGAGAACCGATCGCGACTCTTCTTGTTCCTGGCGATTCTTCTCCACCGCCGCTGCCATGGCTGGCTGTCTGGCCGATTCTTCTTCCTGGCGTTGCGCCATGGCACTTTGTTGCGCATGAAACTGGGCCAGCTGTTCGTAAGTCATCTGGTTGAAATGACTCGAAGTCATAGCAGCGCGCCCCACGCTCTGCGTCCGTAGCTCGTCCATCTCCTCCTGGTTCGGCGGAGGTAAAAACACAGCCACCACAGTCTCCATCGACCTAGTACGTGTCACACGAGAGCGAGCTCGAGACCTTCTTGTTCCGTTCTTGAACGACAAGTAGCAGGCTGCTACTAAAGAATTCTTTGTTGTGTCTCTACCTGACGGACCCCGCGAAGTCCGTTTCCTAAGGCAAATCACGACAAAGATTCCCCAGCGGCAAGCAGCCACTGGGGCTTAACCCTACCCTAATC